CGGGGCGGGCGGGCGGGGGGGGGGACCGCGCGCGCGCGCGCCCCTCACCTGCCTCAGGTGCCTCAGCCGCGCGCCGGCACGGCGCTCTGAGGGGCGGGGCCAGCGCATGCGCCTCCCGGGGGAAAGCCCCGCCCCCTTCCTCCTCCTCCTCCTCCTCCCCGCCCCGCTTCCCGCCCGTCACGGCGCGTGCAGCCCGTTGTTGCCCGGCGACGGTTGAGCGCCGTCAAACCGGCTCGCGCCCCCCCCTGAGGCGGCCTCTGATTGGCCACCGGCGAGGCGGGCGGCCAATCGGGGCAGGGGTTGTTGCGGGGTGGGACGCCCGAACCGGGCGGCGGGTGGAGGGGTAGCGGTGAGGGAGTGGTGCGGCGGTGGCAACAGCAAGATGTCGAGCAGGAGGAGTGTTGGGGACCCGGAGGTAGGACCGGAGGCCCGTTCCTTCGCCGGCGCTATCACGGTGGGGAGCGGGAGGGAGCTGGAGGTCGGGGCGGGCTGTGGGGCTCCTTTCTTCCCCTTTCCTGAGGGGGCGGCCCGCGGGGAGCAGGGTCCCCGGGCTGTTAGGGGTGGGGAGCGTTTCGGTGAGGTGCCCGGGGAGCTCTCGGGGGTCTCAGTTGGCCGGTGCAGCCTCCGGAGGTGTCACTCGGGGCGGGAGGGGTGAGAGGGAATGGTTTCCTGTGGATCCCAGAGCCGGGCGAGCTGCGGGCGGCGGGAGAAAGGGAGAGAAATGCTCCTTTTGAGGCTTTAAAGTGGCGGTTTGGCAGGGTTTTAACATGAGTTGGAGGTTCCAGTTGTGGCCGGTTCTGGGCTCCCCAGTTAAAGAAGGACAGGGAACCGCTGGAGAGAGTCCAGTGGAGGCTGTGAAGATGATGAGGGACTGGAGCGTCTCTCTGGAGAGACCTGGGGCTGTTCAGCCTGAAGACTGAGAGGGGACCTTATAAATGCTGAGCGATATCTAAAGGGTTGGTATCAGGAGGATGGGACCAGACTCTTCTCAGTGGTGCCCAGTGACAGGACAAGAAGGAATAGGCACAAACTTGAACAGAGGAGGTTCCATCTCAACATGAGGAGGAACTTGTTCACTTTGAGGGTGGCAGAGCCCTGGAAGAGACTGTCCAGAGAGGTGGTGGAGTCTCCTTCTCTGGAGACATTCAAACCCACCTGCATATGTTCCTGTGCAACCTGCTCTGGGTGACCCTGCTCTGGCAGGGAGCTGGACTAGATGATCTCCAGAGGTCCCTTCCAACCCCTACCATTCTGTGATTCGGACGCCTGTCTTTCTGTCTGAGAGCAGAGGACACCTGTGGTCTCACTCGTCTTTTTGCTGTCTCTTAGAGCTCTTCAAATCGCCTTTTCTGTTAAGGTTTCTTTGCCTTCAGAACAAATACATGGCTGTATATTGACTTCCTCTTATATTTTCCTTTTTTTTAAAACAGTATTTAACCAGGCGCATCCCTCAGAATCCCAGATACCAACATATAAAAACCCGCCTCGATACTGGTAAGTGAAATCATCAGAGGGTAAAAACACTAAACGAGATGTAGGGTTGTACAAAAATATGCTGGATGCTTTAACTGCCTCTGTCCTGAGCTGCTCTACCCCAGGCTCTGCAGTTTGTGACCGTTCTCATAGAAATTACTGGTCTTGGAGTTTCTGTACATAGGCTTTTCTTGTATAAACTAGCATCTTGACAAGGGTCTAAGTCAGGATAATTATTTGGAAGGTATCTTTGGGGATTTTTTGTTGTTAAAACAGTGGAATTTTATCCGGTAACACCTGCTTATAGTATCTACATGAAAATGGCAGGGAAGGGGCTGTATGGCCACGGTTGTGCCATAGGCTTTTCTTGTATAAACTAGCATCTTGACAAGGGTCTAAGTCAGGATAATAATTTGGAAGGTGTCTTTGGGCATTTTTTATTGTTAAAACAGTTGAATTTTATCCAGTAACACCTGCTTGTAGTATCTACATGAAAATGTCAGGGAAGGGGCTGTATGGCCACGGTTGTGCTTGGAGCGGTGTGTTGGAGGCAGGATTTGATTACCCTTAGAGACAGGGCTGTAAAGTGTGGACTCTGTAGCGTCCTGAGTTTTGGGTGGTGATTTTGTGAAGGCAATGTCTTCGTTCTCCAAAGCATTGTCAAAACAGCTCACACTTTTGATTAGAGAGGGCTTGGTGTGGAACTTGTGAATGGAAAGGGTGCTACGAGGCTGGGGTTTTTTTGCAAATATCGCTGTTCTGACTGTCAGGGTGCAGGTACTTCTGCACCCTTTACTGAATATCCTGTAAAATCAAGCTCCGGTGCCTTCTGTAGAAGAACTGAAATAGTGTTGGGAATGCAGAAGATTTGTCAGGGTGCGGGTACTTCTGCACCCTTTACTGAATATCCTGTAAAATCAAGCTCCGGTGCCTTCTGTAGAAGAACTGAAATAGTGTTGGGAATGCAGAAGATTTGAGCTCCTTCTGGTCACGAACGTTCACAGTGACTTCCCCTCTCCAATACAGAGGCTTTAAGCTACAGAGCACTGCCTGTTCCTAGAGATTGTTGGCAGCTGGTCCTGCGACTGAATTTGCTATTTAGCTGGGCCATCCTTGTGAGAAAAAAGCACTAAGAGGAAAATCATGGTACTTCTTGATTTATGGCTGCCTTTCATTGTTGTAGTGAAAGAGAATCTGCAATGAACATTTGTTATTATAGTCTGATCTTTTCCTTCAAAAAATAAAATGTAGGCCTTAGCAGAGCTGAAGACAAACACTGATAAAAATTTTGTGACAAACCGGTGGATTTATTTTATTTTTATGTTTTTGTTACAGGAAGCAGTTTGACAAAATACACTGAGAAGTTGGAAGAGATCAAAAGAAGTGAGTATCTGTAGAGGAGCAGAATGTAACTTAGGGTGGGTTAGTTCAAAATGCAGAGAGCATCGAGGAGTGATGAACCCCAGGTTTGGAAATCTCTACTCCGAGGGTTTCCACAGCCACATTCCGCAGGAATGAACTGTAGGAACACACAGCACTTGGCTGGAAAGATATTTCTACCTTGATTCTTTGCTGGGCACACTCTGCTTTGTCCTCCACCTTATTTGTGTTTCTCACAGTGCTTTACAGATTTAACTTAAGATGCCAGGCAGGCAGGTCTGGGGGTCTTTCTGGATCCTTTTTTGTGCTAATTTTGTTATTGAATGGAAAACAGGCAGCAAGAAGTTCTCTGGATTAAGAAAACTAGACTAGACTCTTCCAGGAAAACTCAAGGCTGCACTTCTGAGACTTTATTTCATTTCTAGGTAACAAAATGATTGAGCTTGAGATCTTTTACTTTTGTATAATTGTAGAGTACTTAAAATTCTCTTAGAATGCTCCGAGACAGGAAGGAAACAGGCTTATTTCTGTGGAACACATTGACTTTACCAGAATAACATTATTTACCAGAACAGCATTGATGTTTTGAAGACTTTGAGTCATTCAGGCTAATGAAAGCCAGACTGATATTTTTTTTATTTCAGTCTGTTTTCCCACTGAAAACAGGCGCATTAAAAAATTCTTCCTAATAAAGCTAATGTTCTACTACTTTATTTTCAGCTATTGCCCAGATTATTTCCATGCAGAGAGCCAGGAAAGCTATTAAACCCAAAAGCTGTGTTTATTGATGTGAAAGAAAAATCGTCCCTGTTAATGAGGACTGATTAGGATTTTGAATGTTTAGTTCTTAGACCCTCTTACTGTGTTCCTCTAAGATGGTAACATTCAGATTATAAGGGAGGTCACTAATCCATCACGTGAATATATTTGTGCTTGGCTCCGTGCAAAAAGGTCCTTTGTAGCTGCTTTGTTTGTTGGTATTGTTTTTTTTTTTTTTTAAACACTGCAGGTCTTGGGGGAAAATCGAAAGAGAAATGATCTTGTTTTCCAAAATCCTGTGTCGACAGACTAAGATTTTGGCGCTTAACACTGGATCTCCATCGCTTTTTATCTGTGCTGAAAATCTTGTTGTGTGGGTCTAGTTGGTTTTCAATCTCTGCTGTGAATCTGATTTCCTTTCATGGAGGAGATCTTTTGTTTAATCCTGCTTCTGGAGTCCAGTAGAAACTTTCTCATTATCTTAGGGTTGAATAGACTGTCTTCCCAGGCAGTTTAGAAACTTCTCCCCCTTGATTTCTCATGGATAGATGACACCCTTTGGACACAACTTGAAATAACCCAGCACAGACAACTCTCTGTCTCTTGTGTAATGTGAGAGAGTGGGACTTAATACCGTGGAATCAAAAACGATAAGAGAGCTGGAACCACGATGATTTGTGCTTTGGAGGATTGACTTGAGGAGAGACACCAAGTCTCTTCCCTTTCTTCTCTGGTGTTGCCTTCAGTCGTTTCCGAAGCCCCGAGGAGCATCTCCTTGAATACACAATAATTACAGCTTTGTAGCTGAAGCAAAAAAAATGTCAGAAAATCCGAATGGACCTTCCAGGATAGAACCGGGTACGTCGTGTTGCTTTTGTAGTCAGAAGCAGCACTTCTTCTGAATTTTCTCTTAACTTCTGGGAGGCTCACGCAGGCATTCAGATTGGTCTGCTCCAGGTTGGGCTTTGTAATAAATTTGTGGTGATTTTGGGGGGTTTTTCTTCTTGACAGAAATAGTTTGGGGTGATAAAGGCAAGATCTAGGTCATAAAGGCTTATTCTGGGATAAATAATCCTTGCTTGAGGTGGGAGGAGAAGAGCCAGTGGCTGTTTTGTGTAAGCACTGGGACAACAGTTGTGTTTTGGTGGTGTTTATGCATACATCCAGCACTTCATAAGCTTTGCTGCTTTTATTTGTCTTTCTAAATTAAATTTATTTCTTGCTCTTCACATGAATGAAGGGCTCTTTTTGTCCCTGGCTGGGGAGTTTCAATCATTTGGATACGGGCTGCGCACGGGTTTTGTCAGGCAGATGAGGTGGGCTCTAAAAATGACAATTGTTGCTGTTATTTCTGAGTTATAAAGGGAGGCTTTAGCAAGTTGAACTTGAGGCTTGAAACCAGAGGGTTTTGCAAGAACCATAAGGGTCATTTTCAAATTTATTAGACTTCAGAATGTCAATTTAGATGCAGGTCTTGTACTTCAGACCCGGGGTTTGAAATGCATAGCGCACACTGCAGTGCACAGGGGTATTTTGGATGGGCTGCTTCTTTCTAAGACAAGTTGTTCAGTCACAAGCAGACGTTGCTTTGCAGCTTAATAAACATTATATAGTTTAGATACTTTATTATTGTACAGCTTAATAAACATTATATAGGGTAGGATGTTGAATTTGGAAACTCTGTTTGCTGTGAATGCTGAAAATTAACTGGGCTAACTCTGCAGGAAATATATTCAGGAGGGAAAGGATAGGAATAAAACACCCAGAGAGAAAACTCACAGTATCTCTTTTTATGTCTGTTTTGCTACTATAATGTGCCTGTTGGCTGTGTATGGGGAGAATCTTTTCTGAGCAGAATGTCTGTTTGGCAGCCTGTGATCACTGTGTATTGGGAAGAGATCTCAGCCTCTAGTGCTCATGTGGCTTCTTCTCTAAACACACGTCAGCTTGAGAGTTTCCATAAGCTAATTCTGGGGTAGATTTTTGTGTGGTGGTTACAGGAATATGTAGCCCTTCCCCCTTCTTTTCCATCTTCCCTGGCTTAAGCTAACAGAGCATTCAGCAGATGGTTTTAGAGGATTTAGAATTGCTTAACTGGCTGGATTTGCTAAAGGTCCTGTTCTCCGTTGTTAGTCCTCTTAGCTGAACAGCTGGAGAGAGACCAGTTTGGAATATCCTCCAACAGGTACTAAAATTGTTAGAAAAATGCAAAGGATTTGTCTTCTTTTTTTTAAAAATAAAAATCTGCGACTTCAGGGGTGGAACCTAGTAAGGGAGGAGGAGAAGATAAAAAAGGAGGAGCAGTTCTATTTTTGAGAGAGTTTTAGATTGATTAGAGGGTAGCTTCAGGAGCTGCGTGCAGAACTCAATTACAGCTGCAGAGCTTGACACAGGAGGAACCTTGTCCATCTTCTTTGCCTTTCCATGCCAGGGCAGGTTAGATTTTTTTTCTTTCTTTTTTCCTTTTTTTGTGCCTCTTCTGCTCTCTTCTTTCTACCTGTAACTTTCCCAAAGGACGAGGCTTCCGTTTAGAGGGTAGCTTCAGGAGCTGCGTGCAGAACTCAATTACAGCTGCAGAGCTTGACACAGGAGGAACCTTGTCCATCTTCTTTGCCTTTCCCTGCCAGGGCAGGATAGATTTTTTTTCTTTTTTTTCCCTTTTTTTGTGCCTCTTCTGCTATCTTCTTTCTACCTGTAACTTTCCCAAAGGACGAGGCTTCCGTTACTTCCCGTGGGAGGCTATTTCATATCAAGATGTTCCTACTGATACTCGTCTTAGCTTCTCCCTCCTACCACATACACCCTTTTGTTTCACACTAGAAGGCTTCTCTCTTCTTTGTGTTTATCCATCTCAAGTATCTGTATGCAATCAAGCTTCCATCCTTGTCATCACTTACTTAGCACTGGTAATCTCTGCTCTGGTGCTTTGCCAGTCGTTCCAACAGACCGCTCAGTTTTCTCTCTGCCTAAGCTTTGTCTTAAGACTCAATTAGTCCAGCTTCTCCGTAGCAATTATGTGTAATTTCAAGCTGGTATCCGTGCTGATCTGCTGTTCAGTTTTCTGCATTAAACACCTTCTGTCCTTTAGCTATCCGTATTAGCAAATTATAAGAATCAGAATTTGTCAGATAAAGTAAAAAAGCCTAGGCTATTTTAATCAGTAAGATTAAACATACATATTTACCTTAATATTTGGAAAAACATAGTCTGAGATGCAGTGCCTCTATGCTCCGATTCTGCTGCAACTTACACAAATTAAAAATTTGAGTAAATTAAATCGTTTGGTTTAAGAGGCTTTGTGACCATAGAGGGCTTTGAAGAACAGCAGGCGAGGTGATAAATTCATGAAGCTGCTTCCTTCCCCCAGTGAGCACGGAAAACACAAAATAATACAAGTTTGGGTCTAAAACCAAATAAATCTGCCTTCTCCACTTTAAGTGTGTCTGGACAAGATCTCTTTATAACTGGTGTTAATCTTCAAAGTCTTCAAAAAATCTTCAAGTTTGCTCCTCTGATCCTTCAGCACAAGCCTCGTGCCCACAAACCCTGCCTTGTTTACAAAAGCTGACAATTAACTGAAAACTAACATTTTCCTCTTCTGTTTGTTTTTGAAGATTACAGATATAAAAAGGATGAGCTGTTTAAAAGGCTGAAAGTGACTACTTTTGCCCAGTTGGTATGTATAGCTCCCTTGCTGGCCTCTGAAAGTTATCTTTTATAAACAGCATTTTTGCTTTGTCTAAAGCTTTCTGTGTATTTATGTAGCCTTAGTGTAGAATTCTTCTGCCTCAGCTTCTTCCTGCCCTCATAGATTTCCCTAAATAAAAGCAAACCATTCTGGCCAAATGTTTTCAGGGTAGTCAAATGTTTTTAGTTGAAAATTGAAGTTTGTAGTGATTCTGTGTTTGAAATTTGTTCCCTATTTTTTTGTTCATTGACTTAAGAGGATCTTCAAGCCTCTTACAAAAGAAAAGGGCTGGGCAAAGAAGCATTCAGATCTGATGCCATCGAGCTTTGTGTCGAGGAGTCACAGCCTGAAGCCCTCCCTAACAGTGGGTTTAAGTGCAGAAGGTGGGAAGGTTATGACTGCGAGGCTTTCTGTGTATTATTTTTAATTAAAAGAAATTAATCTAAATATTAAAAAATGGAAAATTTGATCAATAAATAAAAAGCTGTGTATTGCTTACATGTTGGTTCAAGGAAATGAGTAAAAACCAGAAAAAGACAAGCTTTCCTCTAAGGAGAGAAGGAAAAGGAAGGTTAAACTCACAGATATTGAAGGAGTGGGTTTGTGTAGACTCATTTCTTTAGTTCCACTGGGTTATTAAGACCAATCCCGTGACTCTCACTAATTGATGAACTGATTCAGTAGGTGAATATTGCAGGGTCTGCTCTCACAGACCAATTAACCATATGCAATTTTATCCATGACACTGAAATGTTTCAGTGACTGAATTTCATTAAAGTCCAAAAACTCTGCCTGCGTGGCACACCTAGCTTTTCTCTAGTCTAAGGTTGAGTGTGGTTTTTTTTAATTTTGCTACAACTTTTGCTTAATAAAAGGTCACACTCGCAGTGCAGGCATCCTATATGTGACCTTGAAGTCCAGTAGAAGGTCCATTGAGTGAAACATGTTTTGGCTTGAGGATTGTTTTTCCTTAAGCTGATCCCCGCTGTCTTTCATTGCTGGTACGTGCCTATCAAGGTATCGTTGCTTGCTTTTGTTTCCTGCAGGTCATCCAGGTTGCCTCTCTATCTGATGAAACCTTAGAAGTGACAAATGAGGAGATCCACGAGCTGGAAGGTAACAATATTTATTGTAAGCACAAAGAGAAAGAGCTGGAGATCGCTGTCGTGTGGTGAACTGTGTCCTGACAGACATAGCTGACTATTCAGTGAGTCTTTTAATCAGGAGGAAAAAAATAACCTGTGGCCTGCAGCCATTCCACTTTGGGAACAGAAAAACTCTTAAAACAGAAAGGATTGCAAATAAATAAGGCCTCATGCTACCAATTTTATTGTAGTAATCCAGTAGATATCATGCATCGAGAATTACATTTTTATTCAAGTCTTAAAATGAGGTCTTCAGCCCTTAAAAATCATGTGGCTCTTTATTTCAGTAAGTCATCCCCATAAGAGGATGAAGATAAGGCTGTCTTTAAGAGACACACTTTCTTCTAAGAATAGAAACTGGGCTTAAAACCTGTTTGTTTGTTTGTTTCCTGCAGTATTTTAACTCTTTGTGCCCTGTTCTCTTCCCAGATGGTGATTCTGCTCCTCCAGATGCTGAAGTCTCAGCAGGGACAAATGGGAAAGGAAGCCCTGATGGGACACCTAGTCCAGTCCTCTTCATAAACAACACAGGGGCTGTGGAATCCTATCGGTCCACCCTGCAGAGGTGCCTGAAAATTAATACAAAATTTTCTTCCTGTCTTAGCAGATAATTATTTTTATTCAATTGGTTATTTTAAATTGCTACTAAGTGGCTTTATTTCTCATTAAAGCCTTATTTTGCAGGTCTGGGGATGTAAATGAGAGGGTTGGTGGGTTTTCCTGTCTGAGTGAGGTTGGTTTGAGGCTGTAACCCAAAACTGTTGCCACCTGATGATTGTCTTAAGGGTCTGACAAGAAAATACACCTGTGGGATTCAATCCAGACCTCTGGATTCAAGAATCCATGTTACAAACTGCTCTGGTAAACTCAGTAATGTGCCTTCCTGATGATCTTAACGTATTGTCCCATGACTGAAAATAAAAGTCCAATTTCCAAACCCACTGATGGAGGTCAGAGATACCAGGAAGACACTGTAAGAGGAAGCTTGGTCTCAGCCCTTCCCTTGCTGTTAACAGAAGAGCTGAGACACCAGCCTGACAGGCTTGACAATTGCATATCAGAGCCATCAATTTAGTCACCACTAAGAGTATCTGGAGGTTTCTTTTCGTGTCCTGTATCCAATCTAGTGATGAAATAGGAAAACCTCTGCACGGGGCTGCTTGTAGATGACTGACAGTTATTTAGTGTGTCTTTGAGATCTCGACACTGGCAGCTTCTTAGAATTATTTTCCCTCACCTCAAAGTCACTTATGACATAAAACACCTGGAATTAACTGATCCAGGTTCACATAGCAAGGCTGTACTCTATTTATTTTTTTGAATTATATTGATAAAAGTAAAATCAGTCTCTTAGGAGGTACTGGGAAGCCTGAAATAGAAACTCTCCATTTTTATGTGGTGTCTGGCTGTACTGGAAGGTAATTGGGCTGTTGGAACAGGTGATGTTTTCCATCGCTCTGACCTGATGAAGAGGGGTATGGAAGTACTAGGCAGCAGTATAGGTTAGGGGTGGACCTGCTGGAAAGCCCTTCTGAGGAGAAGGGCCTGGGTGCCCTTGTGGCCAAGAGGCCAATGGAATCCTGGGCTGCATAGGGAAGAGTGTGGCCAGTAGGTCGAGGGAGGTCATTCTCCCTCTCTACTCTGCACTGGTGAGGCCACAACTGGAATACTGTGTCCAGTTCTGGGCTCCCCAGTTCAAGAGAGACAGGGAACTGGTGGAGAGAGTCCAGTGTAGGGCAACAGAGATGATGGAGGGATTGGAGCATCTCCCTGATGAGGAAAGGCTGAGAGAGCTGGGACTCTTTAGTCTGGAGAAGAGAAGGCTGAGGGGAGACCTTATTAATGCTGACAAGGATCTAAAGGGTGGGTTGAAGGAGGATGGAGCTGGACTCTTTCCAGTGGTTCCCAGTGACAGGACGAGGGGCAATGGGCACAAGGTGGAACATGGGAAGTTCCACTTAAATATGAGGAAGAACTTTTTTGGGGTGAGGGTGGCAGAGCCCTGGCACAGGCTGCCCAGGGAGGGTGTGGAGTCCCTTTCTCTGGAGATCTTCAAGCCCCACCTGGATGCCGTCCTGAGGGATGTGCTCTGGGCAACCCTGCTTTGGCAGGGGGGTTGGACTAGATGTTCTCTAGAGGTCCCTTCCAATGCTGATGATTCCATGATTCCATTAAGCATTCAGAGTGACAGTTTGCACCAGAATCTTTTTGTGATCCCATTAAATGTTCAGAGTGACAGTTTGCACCAGAATCTTTTCTTTCCTCTTGTAGTGTGATAAGCGGCGTTGGCGAACTTGATATAGAAAAGGACACTCCAAAGAAAGTGGACACTCAGGCTAAAGACATGCCTTATCCCGACTGCCCCTTCCTGCTTTTGGATGTACGAGACCAGGATGCGTACGATCAATGTCACATTATTGGAGGTGAGGAGGCCAGAATCCCACAGCAGCCTAGTGTCAACTGGGGATCATATATTAAGCTTTTTTTGTGCCATATTTTGGCTGGCTTCATTTTTTCCCCTCAAGGTGGCATGTCTCTTGGGTGCAGAATGTTCTCAGCACTCATCAGTACATCCATCCTTCCAGGGAAAGTGTTCAGGGGACCGAGTTGATGTTAATCCCTTATTCAGTAGGTTTTCAAGTCCATTGTATCAGTTGTATTGTAGGTTGTGTGATGGTTGGCATTGAGCTGCTGGATGATTTGTCTCTCTTTTTCTCCTCTGCAGCTTATTCCTACCCTATTGCAACGCTCTCTAGAACAATGAACCCATATACAAATAATATTCTGGAATATGTATCCTTTACATATACAGTGCTGGAATAAAAAAAAAAGGCAATAAAACTATGAGGATATTGGTGGAGGCTTCCAAAAACAAGTGGAGCTATAGTGGTTGCTGTAATTGGGACAGTGCTTAACCAACAAAGTCTGGGGATCTCAGGGAGGGTGGGAGATCCTTTATGGTGGCTGTGATTACCTGGTGGGGCTCCACTGCCACCATCAGATGCTGGATTTTACTTCCTCAGGGCTGTAATGCCTCTTAATTCTGGTGGGAGCTGCCTGAATTTGGCTTTTTTGGGGGTTTTTGGCTGCTGGGAGGTAAAGCCATACTATTTGGACCCCTTTCTCCTGCTGTTTAAAAAAAAAAAAAAGGCAATAAAACTATGGGGATATTGGTGGAGGCTTCCAAAAATAATTAGAGCTGTAGTGGTTGCTGTGATTGGGACAGTGCTTAACCAACAAAGTCTGGGGATCTCAGGGAGGGTGGGAGATCCTTTATGGTGGCTGTGATTACCTGGTGGGGCTCCACTGCCACCATCAGATGCTGGATTTTACTTCCTCAGGGCTGTAATGCCTCTTAATTCTGGTGGGAGCTGCCTGAATTTGGCTTTTTTGGGGGTTTTTGGCTGCTGGGAGGTAAAGCCATACTATTTGGACCCCTTTCTCCTGCTGTTGCTGGAGCGCTGGGCTCCTTGAGGGATGCCTTCATCAAATCCTTTGGCTTTCTCTCAGCACCTTGGTAGGAATTGGCTTTTCTGTGGAGGATAGAAAGAGGATTATTAGCTAGGATTAGGCTGATAATTTCCTGGGTCGTTAACTTGAGGGTTGCAGGGGAGAGGAGAGGTTGTAAATGAAGGTGCTCCTTGCTATTGCTTGTTACTAACTCATCTTCAAAACACTGGATGTTTGCTGCAGGGGCTGCACTGCAGTGGGGATTAGGCTGTGTCCTTTCCAGCCTCTGGCAAACCTCAGCTACTGAGAAATCAGTTTTAAAGCACAGATTGAAGGAAGGCATTCCTGATATTTGCAAATCAAATAGGGAATCACTCAGTCTCCAGTCCCATTTGTTTGTCTCTCCTTTTTTCTTTCTAAAAGATATTAACGTTCACCTTCAGTTTACAAATGGATCCTTAGCTCCTCTGCCTGTCAGAAAAATGCACATGGAAAAATCATCATTTTGTACGACAACGATGAGAGGTTGGCCAGCCAGGCTGCCACAACCATGTGTGAGAGGGGCTTTGAGAACTTGTTTATGTTATCTGGAGGTAAGTGGGGGATGGACAGGGCTCCTCAAGGTCTCAATCTCTAGATTGAGAGCAGAGAGCAAGGGTTGTGTGAGCTGGAGATTGGATATTCAGCTCTGAGTGTTTGCCACTGGTAAAATGACTGATAGTATGGAAGTACTAGGCAGCAGTATAGGTTAGGGGTGGACCTGCTGGAAAGCCCTTCTGAGGAGAAGGGCCTGGGTGCCCTTGTGGCCAAGAGGCCAATGGAATCCTGGGCTGCATAGGGAAGAGTGTGGCCAGTAGGTCGAGGGAGGTCATTCTCCCTCTCTACTCTGCACTGGTGAGGCCACAACTGGAATACTGTGTCCAGTTCTGGGCTCCCCAGTTCAAGAGAGACAGGGAACTGGTGGAGAGAGTCCAGTGTAGGGCAACAGAGATGATGGAGGGATTGGAGCCTCTCCCTGATGAGGAAAGGCTGAGGGACTTGGGACTCTTTAGCCTGGAGAAGAGAAGGCTGAGGGGAGACCTTATTAATGCTGACAAGTATCTCAAGGGTGGGTTGAAGGAGGATGGAGCTGGACTCTTCTCAGTGGTTCCCAGTGACAGGACGAGGGGCAACGGGCACAAGGTGGAACATGGGAAGTTCCACTCAAATCTGAGGAAGAACTTCTTTGGGGTGAGGGTGGCAGAGCCCTGGCACAGGCTGCCCAGGGAGGGTGTGGAGTCCCCTTCTCTGGAGATCTTCAAGACCCATCTGGATGCTCCTGAGGGATGTGCTCTGGGCAACCCTGCTTTGGCAGGGGAGTTGGACTAGATGATCTCTAGAGGTCCCTTCCAACTCTGATTCTGTGATCCCATTAAATGTTCAGAGTGACAGTTTGCACCAGAATCTTTTCTTTCCTCTTGTAGTGTGATAAGCGGCGTTGGTGAACTTGATATAGAAAAGGACACTCCAAAGAAAGTGGACACTCAGGCTAAAGACCTGCCTTATCCCGACTGCCCCTTCCTGCTTTTGGATGTACGAGACCAGGATGCGTACGATCAATGTCACATTATTGGAGGTGAGGAGGCCAGAATCCCACAGCAGCCTAGTGTCAACTGGGGATCATATATTAAGCTTTTTTTGTGCCATATTTTGGCTGGCTTCATTTTTTCCCCTCAAGGTGGCATGTCTCTTGGGTGCAGAATGTTCTCAGCACTCATCAGTACATCCATCCTTCCAGGGAAAGTGTTCAGGGGACCGAGTTGATGTTAATCCCTTATTCAGTAGGTTTTCAAGTCCATTGTATCAGTTGTATTGTAGGTTGTGTGATGGTTGGCATTGAGCTGCTGGATGATTTGTCTCTCTTTTTCTCCTCTGCAGCTTATTCGTACCCCATTGCGACACTCTCTAGAACAATGAACCCATATACAAATAATATTCTGGAATATGTATCCTTTACATATACAGTGCTGGAATAAAAAAAAAAGGCAATAAAACTATGAGGATATTGGTGGAGGCTTCCAAAAACAAGTGGAGCTATAGTGGTTGCTGTAATTGGGACAGTGCTTAACCAACAAAGTCTGGGGATCTCAGGGAGGGTGGGAGATCCTTTATGGTGGCTGTGATTACCTGGTGGGGCTCCACTGCCACCATCAGATGCTGGATTTTACTTCCTCAGGGCTGTAATGCCTCTTAATTCTGGTGGGAGCTGCCTGAATTTGGCTTTTTTGGGGGTTTTTGGCTGCTGGGAGGTAAAGCCATACTATTTGGACCCCTTTCTCCTGCTGTTGCTGGAGCGCTGGGCTCCTTGAGGGATGCCTTCATCAAATCCTTTGGCTTTCTCTCAGCACCTTGGTAGGAATTGGCTTTTCTGTGGAGGATAGAAAGAGGATTATTAGCTAGGATTAGGCTGATAATTTCCTGGGTCGTTAACTTGAGGGTTGCAGGGGAGAGGAGAGGTTGTAAATGAAGGTGCTCCTTGCTATTGCTTGTTACTAACTCATCTTCAAAACACTGGATGTTTGCTGCAGGGGCTGCACTGCAGTGGGGATTAGGCTGTGTCCTTTCCAGCCTCTGGCAAACCTCAGCTACTGAGAAATCAGTTTTAAAGCACAGATTGAAGGAAGGCATTCCTGATATTTGCAAATCAAATAGGGAATCACTCAGTCTCCAGTCCCATTTGTTTGTCTCTCCTTTTTTCTTTCTAAAAGATATTAACGTTCACCTTCAGTTTACAAATGGATCCTTAGCTCCTCTGCCTGTCAGAAAAATGCACATGGAAAAATCATCATTTTGTACGACAACGATGAGAGGTTGGCCAGCCAGGCTGCCACAACCATGTGTGAGAGGGGCTTTGAGAACTTGTTTATGTTATCTGGAGGTAAGTGGGGGATGGACAGGGCTCCTCAAGGTCTCAATCTCTAGATTGAGAGCAGAGAGCAAGGGTTGTGTGAGCTGGAGATTGGATATTCAGCTCTGAGTGTTTGCCACTGGTAAAATGACTGATAGTGTGTGATCTGTGTGTCTGCAGGTCTCAAGGTCCTGGCACAGAAGATCCCTGAAGGACTGATCACCGGCTCGCTCCCCGTGTCCTGCCAAGTGACAGCTCCCACTGGATCTGCCCGAAAAAAGACCTCTCCCAAAGTGCCACCCACCCGTGCTGAGAACAAATGGAGATTCTCTGCGGATGATCTACAAAAGATAAAGTTCTACCTGGAAGAGGAACACGTTCCTTCAGATGCTGCTAGTAAGACTCCAGGGCAAATGCTGTAGCTGCTTTCTCTAGCTCTTGAGCCTGCCCCGCAGCCATTCTCTGCTTTGCTGTATTCTCTCGATGAGATTGCTGGGAGAGGGAGAGCTTTCTTCCAAACTCACTGGGAAGATCCACCAAAACCTGTGCTGTGCTGATCCCAGAGGATTTAATCTTACATAGCTACACAATGGCAAAATCCTGGGCCTGCTGAGGGTGGGCTTATACCATTCTGCCCACTATATGTAAAAATATTTAGGTTTTACTGTCAATTAGTAGATTTTTCAAATTCTTAGGCTTGCATAGCTAGATAGAGACTGCCTAGAACCCCCTGTTGAATTATTGAAGGCTATATATGTTTACAAGGGATCCCAGAGGATCTAACCTTACATAGCTACACGATGGCAAAATCCTGGGCCTGCTGAGGGTGGGCTTATACCATTCTGCCCACTATATGTAAAAATATTTAGGTTTTACTGTCAATTAGTAGATTTTTCAAATTCTTAGGCTTGCATAGCTTGCTGATCCCAGAGGATTTAATCTTACATAGCTACACAATGGCAAAATCCTGGGCCTGCTGAGGGTGGGCTTATACCATTCTGCCCACTATATGTAAAAATATTTAGGTTTTACTGTCAATTAGTAGATTTTTCAAATTCTTAGGCTTGCATAGCTAGATAGAGACTGCCTAGAACCCCCTGTTGAATTATTGAAGGCTATATATGTTTACAAGGGGAGCTGGAGAGCCAGGGAAGGGCAACAGATCATTTGTGTGTCCTTGCACTCCATCATTCTTAGATTCCTAGAATGGTTCGGGTTAGAAGGGACCTTAAAGATAATTGTGTCCCTGCCCAGGGCAGGGAGCTGGAACTACTTCCACCAGACCAGGTTGCTCCAAGCCCCTTCCAACCCTGCCTTGAACCTCTCCAGGGATGGGGCAGCCACAGCTTCTCTGGCCAACCTGGGCCAGGCTCTCACCAAGAGCTTCTGATCTTTTTTTGTTGGTTGTTTTCTTGCCCCCAGGCCATCGTGGTTCTCCTTTTTCAGCTTAAAACCCTTCCCCTCCTCCTAGGGCTCCCCTCTCTCATCAAGAGTCCCTCCCCATCTCTCCTGGAGCCCCTTGAGGGACTGGAAGGGACTCTGAGGTCTCCTGAGAGCCTTCTCTTCTCCATGCTGAACCCCCCAACTCTCTCACCGTGTCCTCATAGCAGCGGGGCTCCAACCCTCAGATCATCTCTGTGACCCTTAGGTTTGCAGAGCTTCTGATCTTTTTTTGTTGGTTGTTTTCTTGCCCCCAGGCCATCGTGGTTCTTCAGGCCGTAATTCCAAGGTGACAACCGTGAGGAGCAGCGCCGCTGGCAACGTGGGGTCCCTCACCGCCCGCTCGTTCAGCAAGAGCAGCCTCCAGAACAGGCCGTGGAAATAAGCCAGCCGTGTCTTTCACTAATTGGACATCCAGGTTCTGGGAACCCTGAGCAGTGCAGCCCGTTTGTCGTTTTAGGAATCCGCAGGGAACAGCAGCAGTGGTGTGTAAATGGCAGCTCTGGTAAGGCTGGGAGCGCTGGGACGGCTGATGTTTCGTAGAAGCAGGAACGGGATCACTTTGGCAAGGTGGAATTTTAGGTGAGGTGTCAGGACAGAGTTATCTAACTGATATTTTTTTTTAGAGGAGGGAGTAAACTGGTAGTGACCAGTAGAAACGGTTCTGCGAAGCTTTTAGGTCAGAGGAATGAATTTGTGTCTGTAACACGCTCCTGTGCTGAGCCCCCAGAACCACAGATTGTGTGACCAGGAGAACAGAAACCAGAAACCATCTGTGAGCAAAAAAACATGGTGTTTTGTAGCAAAGATAAAGACATTCAACAACTTGCCAAAAATGCTGGAGAGAGGATTCCCTAAGTTGTTTGGTTTGTTTCGTTATTTATTTTTATGTTAATGAACAGAAGTATTTGTAATAAAGATGTGTTTGGAAATAACCCACTGCAACCTGACAGCTGTGAACAGTTTGTGAAACAATTCTGTGTTTTTAACCGTGTCCTCATAGCAGCGGGGCTCCAACCCTCAGATCATCTCTGTGACCCTTAGGTTTGCAGAGCTTCTGATCTTTTTTTGTTGGTTGTTTTCTTGCCCCCAGGCCATCGTGGTTCTTCAGGCCGTAATTCCAAGGTGACAACCGTGAGGAGCAGCGCCGCTGGCAACGTGGGCTCCCTCACCGCCCGCTCGTTCAGCAAGAGCAGCCTCCAGAACAGGCCGTGGAAATAAGCCAGCCGTGTCTTTCACTAATTGGACATCCAGGTTCTGGGAACCCTGAGCAGTGCAGCCCGTTTGTCGTTTTAGGAATCCGCAGGGAACAGCAGCAGTGGTGTGTAAATGGCAGCTCTGGTAAGGCTGGGAGCGCTGGGACGGCTGATGTTTCGTAGAAGCAGGAACGGGATCACTTTGGCAAGGTGGAATTTTAGGTGAGGTGTCAGGACAGAGTTATCTAACTGATATTTTTTTTTAGAGGAGGGAGTAAACTGGTAGTGACCAGTAGAAACGGTTCTGCGAAGCTTTTAGGTCAGAGGAATGAATTTGTGTCTGTAACACGCTCCTGTGCTGAGCCCCCAGAACCACAGATTGTGTGACCAGGAGAACAGAAACCAGAAACCATCTGTGAGCAAAAAAACATGGTGTTTTGTAGCAAAGATAAAGACATTCAACAACTTGCCAAAAATGCTGGAGAGAGGATTCCCTAAGTTGTTTGGTTTGTTTCGTTATTTATTTTTATGTTAATGAACAGAAGTATTTGTAATAAAGATGTGTTTGGAAATAACCCACTGCAACCTGACAGCTGTGAACAGTTTGTGAAACAATTCTGTGTTTTTAAAAGCGAGCTGGAGGAGAAAATAACTGTGTTTTTTTTCCCTCTCTTCTCCCTTACTGTCTAGAAAGTTTGGCTTCTAACTGTGCTTTTTCTGCTTTGTTCCTTGCCATGGTTAGAGCTACTGTGTGGTGGTTTTGGTTCTAAATGAGATGAAATGAGAGAGTGAGGCTGCCAGATGTGCTGAGCATGGGGTTTTAGCTGATATTTCTTAGGGCAGAATCATCTGCTGTGTCCTTCTTCTTGGTGTGGAGGCAGGGTGTCTCCTTAGTTTGATTGTGAACTGGTTTCCAACTTGCCAGAGCAGGTCACTGGAGCTCCAGAAAACTACAACTGGAGGAGCTGGTTGCTCTTCTGCTGACAAGGGTGACATCCCAAACCATGATACAGGCAGCTGTGAGTCAAAGTTAGGAAACAGAATGTCATTTTGCCTCCTAAAATGATTTTGTGATGCCTGGAACCAAATACCTCTGTGTTCCCTGTGCCTGACAGAGGCTGGAAATTTATTCCCAGCTCTGCGCTCTCCAGACTTTTTGGAGTAGATCTTTCAAGGATAGAGTGGCTGAAGGGAAACTTTCTTCTCTCCCTAAAATGCAGCAGGGACCATGAATCTGGTAACTGAACAGGGTGTGAAGATTTAATAGAAAACGAGTGTCACATCTGTCATCAAATCTGTGCTTCCACCATACCAGTATTGGGCTGGGTGACCTAAAAATGAAAATCTGAAGCTACCCACTGACAAAGCAGAGTTGCCTCCTAGAGACATTGTAAGTGATTCAGCTTGGTCCAACTTTGGCTTCTTGGTCTTATGGCTTTTTTGTGCATGGCTTATTGAATTTTGGTGGGTTTGGGTTTTTTTTCCCCCTTTTTGACATAGACAAGGAAGTTTTAACAGACCCCAAAATTCACCCCTGGTGCGGATCATCTGGATAATTCTGGTGAAAGGGTGAGGTGAGAGACATTGTGGATAATTTCCAGTCTGGCAGTTCAGTGTTCGACATCTGTGAGCACGTTTATCATGTTTATTGTGTCTCCATGAGCCTTAAATCAAAGGAGTTGCTGATACAGGGACTGGCAGTCGCGTTGTGATGAGACCCATAACTTCAGTCCTCTCCAGAGAAGAACGAGGTGATCGGCACAAACCCCTGATGCTGTGTCAGGATTCCCTGGAGGGAGAATAAGGGGAGAAATCAAGGGGCAAAGGGCAGAACCTTTAAACCAGCGTTTAAAATGTACTGATCAGAGTCCTTCAAAGAGCCAAATGCCCCTATGTGTTCAAATATACATCTATATTTTTTTATATGTAATAAAAATCTGCTTGTAGGGAGGTAACTTAAAGCTCTCGGCTTCCTGGAGAAGTTCTTGGATGTTTAAAGTTCTACTAACCAGCTCTAATTAGTACAAACTGCTTTTCCAACCCCTCCACTAGGGATTGCTCCTGTCCTGGGTTTCCATATGGAATGTGTGTGTGTAAATATGTTGGGCTGGTCAGGTATGAAGATCAAAAGAAATGAAAGATCTTATTTCAGCCCATCCTTAGGAAGCTGAAAGCATCTCACCATCTTGGTAACTGCTCTGCTTTCTTACTTGATCATGCTTCTGGAAGCCTTCTTGTTGGTTTAATTTAATTGTAAATTTTTATTTTGAACGAAATAGCTTGTCCTGCTTTGTCAGGCTGGTTGGATTTTTGTGGAATGGCTTTTGGAGAGAAAAATGGTTTTTAAATGATCTGAGGCCAAAGCGGGAGCTGCAGGGACCTGGTGCTTGTCCACACTCTTCACTCGCAGCCTTGGGACTCTTGGGGCTTTAATTACTGATTGGCAGGGCTATTAGGTGGCCTAATAAAAATAACTAAAAGCTAAATAAAGATTTCAAAGGAGTTATTGGTACTGAAGCATCTCAGAAATGCCCCATTCAGCTTTGAACACGTTAATGTGGCTCATGCAGCTGCTTGGTCTGATCTTGGTGTCCTGCGTCCGCTGCTCCTTCCTGCTGTGTTCAGCACCTCTCTTTTTATGTCGTAATTAAATAAAACCATGGAAGGAAGCAGAATTCAGTGAGAAGTTTGCCTGGCCTCCTTGTGGGGAAAAATTATACTGCTTGATTGATGTCCACCCTAAAGGTGAGAGCTATTTATTACCTACTTGAAAGATGCGGACCAGTACAGCCCACAGGAACCTACTGGTGTGTGAGTGGGAGATCTTTCGGCTCCGTGAGCACTTGGAAGTGTATGAAATGCATCTGTCTGAAAACAGACATCAGCAGTGGTCATCGTGTTGGCTTAAAGTCTGGATTTTGCTGTCCAGCTCTGGGAGACGGATCCAAAATCCCTGGCTGCTTTCCATGGAAACCTCCTTCTGAAACGGACGGACAAAACCGGTCTGAGCTCTTTGAGATCCTCCAAATCTGGACATCGAAGATACTTTTCCCCCTCGTCTTGATGGATTTGGACAGTTTTGGACACTTAACTTGGTGTTGTTTGGAGAATAGCGTCGAACTGTGTTGTCTGGGAGTTTTAATTGTTTAATAAAAAATAAATGGCACCATATGGTTGAGTACTGCGGCTTGAGCTTTGACAGTAGAGGAGAGCGTGGAGAATCACAGACGGATACGGGGTTGGAAGGGACCTCTGGAGAGTAGGTCCTCCTAAAGCAGATCCCACAGGAACGTGTCCAGGTGGGTTTTGAATGTCTCCAGAGAAGGAGACTCCACCACCTCTCTGGGCAGCCTGTTCCAGGGCTCTGCCACCCTCACAGGAAAGAAGTTCCTCCTCATGTTGAGATGGAACTTCTTATGTTCAAGTTTGTGCCCATTACCCTTTGTCCTGTCACTGGGCACCACTGAAAGCAGGAGCCTGGCTCCCCCCTTTCCATGGGATTGCAGAGGGTGAGGAGAGACCTTTCTACCAGCGCTGCAAGTTGGTGTTCAACCACAAAAATATGCAAAATAAATCACTTCAACCTGATTTCCTCACGTCCCAGAGCCACAAGGGCCCCCAGGAGGGCTGGAGAAGGTGGGCACACCTCCTGCTGCCACAGCGGTGGTGTCCGAGGTCTCTGTTTATCCAGTAAGTGTCAAACGTTCTCCCCTGCTCTGACAGAAGGAAAACAAGCAGAAAACAGAGGGGGAAAACTTTCCTTTCCTTTGTGTCCTGCTATTTTCATGCCCTTTTGATGCCCTTTTGTGGCTGCTGGGCCAGCACGTGCTGTTTATGTTGGCTGTCACCTCCTGTACCCTCACCAGCACTGAGTCAGTCTCTAAAAAGCCTTTTCACCGTGACTGAAAAAAGGAGAAAACCTCAAAAGGTGTTTCTTATCCTTCTTTATGTTTATTTATTGCTTTCTTTTTTCCCTTTCAGGTTAATAGGGATGGTCCAGCGTGTGCTGCATGATGACCTTCAGGGCCAGCCATGTCTCCTGGGCGGTGGGGATGATCTGTTTGGCGGGGAGGAGGAACCCGTAGCGCCCCGTGTCCCTCAGCTCGAAGGTGAAGGAGTATTTAATGCCCTGGTTGTAGGTCCAGTCGATGGTTCCTCCGCTGGCTTTATCTGGAAGAAGGAGGGATTGCAAACCGTTAGTCGCTCTGTACCGTATGGACTTGACATTGGAATGGGCTGCCCAGGGAGGTGGTTGAGGCACCATCCCTGGAGGTGTTCAAAAGATGGGTTGATGTAGTGCTGGGAGGTATGGTTTAGTGATGGTGATGCTTCTTGTTTGTTGTGTGGGTGTCTATTTTTGTCAGTTAGGTTGATGGTTGGACAAGATGATCTTTGAGGTCCCTTCCAACCTAGAAGATTCTGTGATTCTGTGACTTTTTTTCATGGGACCTTTTGTCTAAGCCAAGGTGTGGAGAAGAGGAGGCTGAGGGGAGACCTTATTGCTCTCTACAACTAGCTGAAAGGAGGTTGTAAAGAGGTGGGGATGAGTTTCTTCTCCCAAGTCACAAGCAACAGATCTAGAGGAAATGGCCTCAAGTTACACCAGGGGAGGTTCAGGCTGGATATTAGGAAAAATTTTTTCACTGAAAGGGTCATCAGACCTTGGAATGGGCTGCCCAGGGAGGTGGTTGAGGCACCATCCCTGGAGGTGTTCAAAAGACGGGTTGATGTAGTGCTGG